TGGCCCAGGCTAGAGTGAGTGCCGTGGCATCAGCCCTAGCTCACAGCAACCTCAAACTCCTGGCTCAGCAATCTTCTGCCTCAGCCTCCCGAGTAGCTGGGACTACAGGCATGCGCCACCATGCCCGGCTAATTTTATATATATATTAGTTGGCCAATTAATTTCTTTCTATTTTATAGTAGAGACGGGTCTCCTCTTGCTCAGGCTGGTTCCAACCCTGACCTCGAGCAATCCGCCTCGGCCTCCCAGAAAGCTAGGATTACAGGCGTGAGCCACCGCGCCCGGCCTTCAACACATATTTATTTAATAAATAAACAAGTAAATGGATGAATGAATCCTTTTCTTCATCCATCAGCTGCTTTCTGTACCTAACCAGTGTCGTGTTTAAGAGCAAAAAAGCCGGAAACAGACTGAAGTGTGTAGAACAAGGCCTGGCGCCTAAGTGCCGTATACGTAATAGCTATTGTTCCTATTCTGCCTCATCCATCTCTCCATTTACGCATTCTGCACTCTCCCACGAGAAGTCTCATCTGATTTCTGGTCTCTGAGTGTGGGTGACTCAGTGTCATTTGCAAATTAGGTCGAAAAGTTTTGTTTTTTAAAATTTTTATCATGGAAATTTTCAATCATACACAGAAGCAGAGAGAAGAGGAAAATGAACCTCTGTGACAAGCTTCAACAATTATTTGCCAATATTCAACATATTTCCCAATCTTTATTCATCAATATCCTTATCTTTTTTTCCCTACTGAAGTATTTGAATGTAAGTCCTGGATGTCATATACTTTTGTCTGAAAAAACACTCAATACATATCTTTTTTTGTGAGAGAGTCCGGCTTTGTTGCGCAGCTAGAGTGGTGCGGGCCGTCACGCCAGCTCACAGGAACCTCAAACCTCCTGGGCTCAAGCGATCCTCCTGCCTCAGCGTCCCGAAGTAGCTGGATACAGGCATAGTGCCCACCATGCCTGCTAATTTTGTCTATATATATTAGTTGGCCCAATTAATATTACTTCGCTATTAATGGTAGAACGGGGTCTCGCCTTGCTCAGGCGGTTTCGGAACTTCCTGACCTCAAAGCAATGCACGGCTCCCTCTTGGGCCTCCCGAGTGCTTAGGATTACGGCGTGAGCCAATTGCTGGCCCTCTAATCATAGTCTGTAACACATGAGGACTTAAACCCCCCTACAATACCAGTATCACACTTAAAAATTAACAATAATTAGGGAGAGCTTTTAAAACCCCATTCTCTTGAGAGAAGCTGGGGGATTGGGAGCCATTGCTTTGGCGTAGATGTGCATAATGAGGAATAGCCAAGAGAGTTAACATATATAAAATGCTTTGAATAGGGCCTGTCACATAATGTCAGATATAGCAGTAACTATTATTTTGATTCTCTCTCATTCTCTCCATTTACCCACTCTAAATCCCCCCAACCCCTCTTATTTCTGGGCTCTGAGTGTGGGTGACCACTTACAAAAGACTAGGAGCCTGGGCTGGGGAGTTTCCTGGGTCATGGGAGCCTGCATGAGAGCTGGGATTCCAGAAGGCACCAAGGAGGGCCCCAAAGCAGCAGACTGCAGGCCTGAGGAGGGGGAGAGGGGCAGCCAGAGCTGTGGAGTTTAAAGAATGGGGAGCCCTGCAGTTGTGTGAAAATGGGGCTGAGAAAATCCTGTAGCCTATGGGCAGGCAAGCTGAGGGTTGGTCCTTTCTAGTGATCAGGGCCTTTGGGGGTCACTGCCAGCTGTGAAGCAGAGAGGCGGTAGCCCTGTTCCTGAGGGAGTTCCCTTATTTTTTCTTCGTGGCCCACAGGAGGGGCAGCTGCCTACAACAGCAAACCGGGGCCTGCTTCGCTTCATCTGGAGTTCTCAACAGTTCCAAGGATATGAGTGATGATGGCAGATCCTGAACGAAAGCACAACTAGAGATGGCTTTAGCAAGGCTCGAGATGAAGATTTTTGTGCTTTACTTCTCTTTTCCTTTCAGTAGAAGTAGAATTCTCCCCTACTTCTCTCCTATTCTCTTCTTCTCGCCCTACTCATCCTTTGGGTATCCAGGACACCTGGACATTCGACCTATCCAGTGTTTGAGCTGCTATAACAAAATACCACAGACAGTTCTGGAGGCTGAGAAGTCCAAGATCAAGGTGCCAACAGGATTGGTGTCCGGTGGGGACTGCTCTTCGGTTCCAAGACCGTGCCTTCTCGTTGCATCCTCTGGAGGGGGAGGAATGTTGTATCCTCACATGACAGAACAGAAGAGCAAAAAGGGCCTAACTAGTTTCTCCCGCCCTTTCATAAGGCACTAATCCATTCATGAGGGAAGATCCCTCATGACTTCATCACCTCCCCAAAGGCCCCATCTCTTAATACCACCACAGTAGGGATTCAGTTTCAACACATGAATTTTGGGGGACATTCAGACCACACCCCCCCCAATCCAAACTTGCCTCCAGGAAAAGATGTGATTCACTTCAGCAGGGTAAACAAGCTCCTTCATAACCTGGCCTCCAACTACTGCATCACCTCATTTCCCACCACTCCCCTCTTCTTTCCAGCAGTTGGTAGTGTGTTACAGTGAAAAAGCACAGATTTGTGTCCATGCTGACCTAGTATTGAGTTCTGGCTCTGCCATTTCCCAGCTTGGGAACTTTAGGTGAAGTCACCTTATCTTTTTTCTTTTTTTGAGACAAATTCGTGCTCTGTCTCCTGGGCTAGAGTGCAGTGGCATCATCATAGCTCACTGCAACCTCAAACTTCTAGGCTCCAGCAATCCTCCTGCTTCAGCCTCCAGAGTAGCTGGGACTACAGGCACACGCTACCACACCTGGCTAATTTTTCTATTTTTTGTAGAGACAGGGTTGGCTTGTGCTCAAGCTGGTCTGGAACTCCTGGCCTTAAATGATCCTCCCAAAGTGCTAGGATAATAGGTGTGAGCCATCACAGCTGGCCCACTTTAGCTTTCTGAGCCTCAGTTTCCACATCTGAAAAATGGGGATAAGAATACTATAATATTAAGTAAAAGGCCTCTTACCAGATGGCTTAAAGCCATATAAACATATGACTTAAATTCATACAAACCAATAAAATAGTCCATCTTCTCTGAGATCTCTTTTAACTCATAATGGTCTATGAATTTTATAAAAATCTTAAAATCCTCTGGACATACATGACTGGGGCAATAGGTGAGTTTTCAAATACTGAATGCTGAATTAATGCCTTGAGGAATTATAATGTTCTTACCGCTATATGAACAAGGACAACTTTTTTTGGCCGAATACCTCCTACTTAGCCTTGCTCAAGGAAGTCACTTAAACTCAACACTACATTTCTCTAAGCCCTTAGCTTTGCCTTTGAAAATACGACTGCATCTCAGTTGGAGTTTCTGAAGAAATGGTGACCACAGCCCTACTTATTTCTTAAGTGAGAGCTTTGGGTTGGCTCTTGAAGACCTTTCTTTTTTTTTTTCAATTTTATTTTTTATTTTTTAAATAGAACAAAGCATGTGTTCTTAAGACCTTTCTTGAAGACCTTTCTTCACGTGAGTTTAAGTCACGAGGACTACACCCCCCATAGTGTTTGAATTCAAAGCATGCTCAGTGCCAGGTCCTAGCGAGCAGGGAAGTGAGACTATCTCGGGGCGCGGGGGGCGGGGATGAGCAGGCGGTGGGGGAGGTCTCCAGCGGCCACTATAATGACTGAGATACTATCACCAAGATCACATCAGGTAGTCTCCTCCGCACACCAAGAAAGCACACGCAGACGCACACTGACACACGAATTCGCCGCTGCACGATTTGGATTGGCTTGAAAAGGCGAGGGAACCCAGGGTGACGCAGCCCACGCCAGGCTACGCGGGCGGCGACCGCCTCCTAACGCCAGCGCGCCTAGGCGCAGGCGCACGGCCCTCGTGGGCGGTGCTCGGGCGGCGCCGCCGGAGTGCAGGGCCGCGGATTGGCCGGCCGCGAGGCCGTCGGTTGGCCCTGCCCCTTCCGTGTGCGCACAGAGCATGCGCGGGGCGGGCGCGAGCGAAATTCAAGCTCGAAGCTGCCGCCGAGGTACCTGGTACCAAATCCGAGGGTCATGGAGGCCTCCCAAAAGTTTGCGGAAGCCGAGGCCTTGAGCCCAGGGCAGGTTGCTCTTTACCAGAGGTATGTCTGGGCCGCCGGGCGGGTCTAGCTCGCAGGCCCTGGCTCTGGGTGGGGTGGCCATCGGACCTTCCGTGGGACCCAAGCTGCTGATGGCGGAGCCTTGTGAGACGCGCACCCGCGCTCTCCGAGTAGGACGTGGGAATCGGTTTCGGACTTTTGATCAGATTTCTAAAGCCTGGGGAACTCCCAGTGCCTCCCTTCTGGGGCACGTAACCCTCCGGTATGAGCTCTTTGAGAGCCAGAACTTCAGTTTATCGAGCCCTTCTTGAGTCTTCCCAGCCTACCAAGCCCCAGGCCTGGGAGATAACAGAAATGAGTACAGCACGGTCCCTGTCCCCAAATTACTTATAATCTAGTTGTGGAAACGGACCCGTAAACCAATAATGACTCTAACATTTGATGAGTGCTGTAAGAGGTATAATGTGCAGGGCATAATGTTGGCATAAAGGAGGGAATGGCCAACTACAGGGGTCGGTGAGCTAAGGAAAGGCCTCATAAGAGGCGGAAACATTTGAGCTCTTTGTTGAAAAATGCCTAAGCAGTTACCAGTTGGCTAAGGGTGGGGGGCGTGGTGATGTTGGGATGAGCATTTAAAAAAATTTTTTTAATTGTGACAAAGTACACATAACATAAAATTTACCATCTTAATCATTTTAAGTATACAGTTTAGTACTGTTTAAGTACCTTCATATTATACCATCACCACCCATCTCTAGAACTCTTATTTTTAAATTTTTACTTATTTATTTATTTTTTTGAAACAGAGTCTCACTTTGTTGCCCAGGCTAGAGTAAGTGCCGCGGTGTCAGCCTAGCTCACAGCAACCTCAAACTCCTGGGCTCAAGCGATCCTCCTGCCTCAGCCTCCCGAGTAGCTGGGACTACAGGCATGCACCACCATGCCAGGCTAATTTTTTCTATATATATTAGTTGGCCAATTAATTTCTTTCTATTTATAGTAGAGATGGGGTCTCGCTCTTGCTCAGGCTGGTTTCGAACTCCTGACCTCGAGCAATCTGCCTGCCTCGGTCTCCCAGAGAGCTAGGATTACAGGTGTGAGCCACCACGCCTGGCCTCTAGAACTCTTAATCTTACAAAACTAAAACTATACCTATCAAGCAACTTCCCATTTCCCCCTGCCTCCAGCTCCTGGCAACCACCATTCTTCTGTCTCTATGAATTTTGACCACTTTAGATACCTCATATGAGTAGAATTGTGCAGTATTTGTCTTTCTGTGACTGGTTTATTTCACTTACCATAATGTCATCAAGGTTTATCCATGTTATGCGACAGGATTTCCTTCCTTTTTAAGGCTCAATAATATTCCATTGCATTTATCTACCACATATTCATCCATTCATCCATTGATGGACACTTGTGTTACTTCCATCTCTTGGCTATTGTGAATAATGCCGCTATGAACATGGGCATGCATCTCTTTGAGATTGCGCTTTCAGTTCTTTTGGGTGTATACCCAGAAGTGGAATTACTAAATCATATGGTAATTCTGTTTTTAATTTTTTGAGGAACTGCCATAGTGTCTTCCATAGTTGCCATACCATTTTATATTCCCACCAACAGTGTACAGGGTTCCATTTTCTCCATATCCTCCCCAACACTTGTTAATATCTATTTTTTAGATAGTACCCATCCTAATGGGAATGAAGTGGTATATCATTGTGGTTTTGACTTGTATTTCCCTAATAATTAGCGATGCTGAGCATCTTTTCATGTGCTTATTGGCCATTTGTTTGTCTTTGGAGAAATGTCAATTCATGTCCTTTGCCCATTTTTTAGTTAGGTTGTTTGTTGTTGAGTTCTGGGAGTTCTTTATTCTAGATATTAACTCCTCAGATATATGGTTTGCAGATACTATCTCCAATTCTGTAAGTTGCTTTTTCACTGTTGATTGTGTCCTTTGATGCACAGAAGTTTTTAATTTTGATGGAGTACAAAGAAATAAGTTAGGGCAATGGAATAGTTCTGTCTCTTTTTCAAAACAAGAATGTTTTTAAGGCTGTTAAAAGTAAAAAGATCTCCTTACAGAGAAGTAAAAGCACATCTTTGGACTAGTTACTTGACTTCCTTAAGGAAGACTTGCGGAAAACAGGTGGCATGGTGTGGTAGAGTACTGGCTTTAGAGTTGGGTCATTTTGGGTTCAAATTATGGCTTTGCTGCTTAGTAGCTCAATGACCTCAAACAAGTCCCTTGCCTATTCTTTTTTTTATATATATTTGTTTTTATTTATTTATTTTAATTATTTTCTTATTTCGCTAACAGCTAGAGGGTGTCATATAACCCTTGCCTATTCTGAGCGACAATTTTCTCATTAGGAAAATGGGAGTAATGAGGCTGAGGACCATTAGTCTCCTTCCCCTCTTCCCTGAGCAAGCAAATAGACCTCTCTGCTTGCACTGATTCCCCAGCAGTGTTCCCCCCACGCTGACACCTGTGTCTCGCTCGCTCCCGTGGGTTCTCTCGTTGAAACATTCACCGTGTCATCCGTGTCTCCATTCCACAATAATCAGCCTCGTCGTTAAATCCTACCTTTCTTTTTTTATTTAATTGGAAATTAATTTCTTTCTATTTATAGTAGAGATGGGGTCTCGCTCTTGCTCAGGCTGGTTTCAAACTCCTGATCTTGAGCGATCTGCCTTCCTAAGCCTCCCAGAGTGCTAGATCATGGTGAGCCACTGGTTCCTGCGCAATCCTTCTTTTTTCTCACGGTTCCCCCATCTCTCATGAACCTTCACTCTCAGCAGTTCTCTGAATTATTTCTCCTAACCTTTCTTCAAGTCTCCGTCCTAATCCCCCTCTTCCCCATTGCACAAAGTGTCCCCCTCTTTATTACTCATAATTCTGCTTTGTGACACAATGCTACTCTCATAATTTCTCTTTCTCCCTCCCTTTCTCCCTTTCTGTCCCTCTCCTTCCTTATCTCTGCTGTGTAAGCAGTGAAGGAAAACTTTTTTTTTTGGACAGAATCTCACTCTGTTGCAGGCTAGAGTGCCTGGTGTCAGCTAGCTCACAGCACACCTCAACCTGGTCAGTGATTCTGCCTCAGCTCCCAATAGCTGGCTACCGCATGCGCCACCCATGGCCGGCTAATTTATTTCGCTATTTTTAGTCACTGGCTAATTGTTTTTTTCTATTTTTAGTAGAGATGGGGTCTCGCTCTTACTGGTCTCCAACTCTTGAGCTCAAAATCCTCCCACTCAGTGTCCACAGCTAGGAAAAAATACAGAATACTTGCTCGGCGCTGGTTACTTTTTTTTTTTTAATATTAAAAGTTTACTATTGTATTTTTTTGGTTTATTGATAGGAATTATCGATGTCTAGTTATTATATGATGCGCATATAGCGCAGCTGTGGGATAGTTCTTGGAAACTGTAACTTTAAGCAAAACGATATACAACAGAGCCAATTTTTTTCCTTATCAACATAGCAAAATGATGTTGAATGAATCAATATTACTTGAGGACCTACTACATGTCATTTTGCTTAAAGTCATGTTTCCAAGAACCTATTGATGATGTTAAGTGAGGACTTGCTATACATGTAAACATATCATATACTTACACATGTGTGTATGTTTTATTGCAGTATTGCTACTAATAGTAATTTTTTAAAAGAAGCAAGTAATCAATATATTGATTGATTGAGACATTATTTTAAAAATCTGGCAGATCCATTTATTGGTATAGCTGTATTGTATAGCCTGCTGTTCAAAGCAATAGTTATAGCGTGGGCCCGGCGCGCATCGGCTCACCGCTGTAATCCTAGCCTCTGGGAGGCGAGGCAGGCGCGTTGCTCGAGGTCAGCGCAGTTCGGACAACCCCGCCCTGAGCAGCGCTGCAGCCCCATCCTCCTAAAATAGACGAATTATTGCGCCCAACTAATATATCTACGAAAAATTACGAATAGCCGCGCATGGTGGCGCCGCCTAGTCCAGCCTACTCGGGAGGCTCCCTGAGGCACGCGGAGCGAGTCGCTTGAGCCCAGGAGTTTGAGGTTGCTGTGAGCTAGGCTGATGCCACAGCACTCACTGTAGCCTGGGCAACAAAGTGAGACTCTGTCTCAAAAAAAAAAAATAGTATAGTGTGTAATATCAAAGCATATCAATATAATTTTTATTAAAATTCTTGTTAATTTCAGTATTCATGCAGATTATCTAATACCCTGGCCTCTCAGTTCCTTGATCTCCTTTTTTCTAGTTACCTTGTCCTCTCCCTTACCTCTCTATTCACCATCATGGTTGTACCACATACCTTGTCATTACCAATCCCTCCTATATTGGCCACCTCACAGAGACCAATGAACCCTGCCTAAAATTTAGTTCAGATGTCAAGATTTCTGATGACATACACATATACACACACACACCCCAGGAGGGTATAAAAATGTTTATTAGACACATAATGAGACTTTCTGGGGAAAGCAGGGCAATTTACCAGACCTGGTCTGAAAATGGTTTGAGAGAGCAGAGAAAGGACACAGGCTTGGGGTTTTTTTGTTTTTGTGTTTGTTTTGTTTGTGAAACAGAGACTCACTCTGTTGCCCAGGCTAGAGTGCAGTGGCATCAGCTTAGCTCACAGCAACCTCAAACTCCTGGGCTCAAGCGATACTCCTACCTCGGCCTCTCAGAGTGCTAGCATTACAGGTGTGAGCCACCACGCCTGGCCTAGGCTTGGGGTTTTTATGGTGCTTAGGTGGGGCTGGAGTGAGAGGGTTCTTGGTGTGGGCTGGACCTCGCACGGTCTGAGTTTTCCTCTGGTGCCAAAAGAGGAAGCATCTGGGATTTCTTTTTAGCTTGCCCAGATGTGGGACAGAAGGGAAAGTGGGAGGGGTGGAACTTAAAAGCTGTCAGCAGTGAAACTTCAATAATGGAATCAGACTGTATTTATTATTTTGCATTCTATCTCAATTCCTCTATTTTGAGCAGTTATCGTGTCCTATGTGTGTTGTTTGTAGTGCTTCTGTGTGCTTAGCCATCAGATCC